CATTTTCTGCAGCACACATGAACGTGGTGTTCAGCACGCTGGCCTCAGTGAATTCTCTTGGCAGAGTGTGTCGCCATTTAAAGGACTGGACTCAAGTTAAAAAGGGGGTTTTGGGGTTTGGGGGTTTTGTTTGTGTTTTTTTTTTTTTCCCCTGAAGCCTGGAAGACACAAGGTGAACGCTTAAGTCTTCCCCAGGGCATGGTCAGCTCTTGTGAAGCGAAGTGCTGTGGTTCAGGCATGCTCAGAACGCTGCCTGGACGGCAGCCCGGAGCATCAGGGAGTGCTGTCTGCTAGTGCGCAGAGCCTTGTCTGTCCTTACCCAGCACACGTGAAACCCTAACGTTAGAGCTGCTAAGCCATGGCCCCAGTGGTTGCTGGCGTGCCTCTTTTCCACACAGTCTTTAACAGAGCGTACGGCATTTGCGTGACACACGTGGTCGTTGCCGGAATGCACAGTTCCCGGAGCCGTTCTGCATTGCTGAAGCAGTGTCAGTTGCTTATCTTTAAGGGTCAGAAAGATTCTGGTGGATGAAAGTTGTGCAAGAGGGTAGAGAGAGACCGTCAAGAGGCAACATTTGACCAGTATCTTAAAGATAACATACAGAACCAAGAGGTATTAATACAAAATTATTACATAAAGGGAGTCAAGTTGAATTCAGCAACCATTTTCCATACTGAAGATACTAAAGTTTGATGGTAAGAATATTTGCATTTTAAGAGTCTCAGAGAAGACTTCCAGCTGTACGTAATCGTGCAATGACTCTCAAAGGTTGCACGGAGGGACCCGTATGTTCTGCACTTCTGTGGCTGCTGAATTTAATTAAATTTACTTCCTGCAGCAGGATTGTGTAGAAGAACCTAAGTCTGTGTTGTAAAAGTAAATTGTCTTTCACGATCGTGAAGAAAAGTTGGAAAAACGTGAAGCCAATGTAAAATCGATTTGGTGATACCTTCCTGAGTTTGAGGGGATCTGGGATGCGTGACCTGCCCCATGTACTATAATGAATAAACCCAAAGATGACAACTGGTGGCGCGCCAAATTCTGGGAATGTGGGAACAAGACAGTACGTCAAATCTAAACAACACCAGAATTCATGTAGGGGGCTCGTAATGACTGTGTTACTTGTTCACCTCTGTAAGTAAAGCCCTTGTGTTTAAAATGTGCATCTGAAACTGCTGCAGTATCTGAGGGTTTTGCCTGAAAGCATAGGCCCTGCTCACTGTGTGGTGCTGGGGCTTTGGTTCCCTTATCCCCATGCAAGCACCAGCCTGCTTCCATGTTGTGGGGAACATGGGCAAAATGAGGTCTTGTGTGGAAGAGGAGGATTAGCGAGGGAGCTGAAGGAGCGTGACGAGGATTGCCACATGCACCTACGCTGTTCTACGCTTTTAATAGTGAACCATAGCTTAGGGAAGCACATTTGGCTTTTGTGCTCCTGGCCTCTCCCCAGACACCTGTGTGTATGTTACCTGTGTCCTGAGTTGCTCGCTGATCCATGTTAAAGAGAATGCGGGACTGGGAGAAGTTTCCTTTTGAGGGAAAGGGTGATGGAGGTTGCCGTAAAAATGGCAATTCAGGAAAAATGTAACTATAGCTTGGAGAGAAAAGCAGACTTCGACCAGTTCGTGTAGGAATTCCCTTGCTAAGCATCAGGCAGGAGGCGGCAGAAGGGTGACTTAAGAGAAGAGGACATGCTGGGAGTCAGCCCCCGTACACAGCACGCTTTGGGGTGCAGGTTTTGGGTAGAAGCAGGTGAGGGAGCTGCTGGGGCTGGGGCCTGGGGCCGCTCCCCGAGGGCCTGGGGCTGCTCCCTGGGGACCGGGACAGGTACCAAGCGCTGCTGAGCACTGACCTGTTCGTTCTCTCAAAGACAGAGACTTCAGCAGCAGCAGGGATGGCAGTGGCT